AAATTTTTCATGGAGTAAACTGCAATGGGGTAACTGGAATGGCTAGGCCATAGGCAAAATGGGGAAAACAGGGGGCAAAAAGTTGTTGACGATGCCAACAACACGCGGTGTTCCCAAGCGGTCCCCCAATCTAAGTACTAACCGCGCCCGACGCTGCTTAATTTCGGTGATCGGACGAGAACCGATGTATTCAGCGTGGTATGGTCGTTGGCGAAAGTCGCAGGGTTAATCTATAGCTTTATATTTTGGTTGAACGCCTAACCTGTGTGTTATTTTGGGCTGCCAAGATACGCAGGAGTATCTGAAAGATGCCTAAGGGCTTCCACAAAGCGCCAGCCAGAATGAAAATGAATTTCCCGTAAAGGTTTGACCCTACTGGGGATTCCAGGTGTATCTAAAAGATGTATGAGCCGTGGGGGAGGTGCAGATGGGTAAAATAATAAAAATAAATAAATAAAATAAAATAAAACAAATTTTTCATGGAGTAAACTGCAATGGGGTAACTGGAATGGCTAGGCCATAGGCAAAATGGGGAAAACAGGGGGCAAAAAGTTGTTGACGATGCCAACAACACGCGGTGTTCCCAAGCGGTCCCCCATCTAAGTACTAACCGCGCCCGACGCTGCTTAATTTCGGTGATCGGACGAGAACCGATGTATTCAGCGTGGTATGGTCGTTGGCGAAAGTCGCAGGGTTAATCTATAGCTTTATATTTTGGTTGAACGCCTAACCTGTGTGTTATTTGGGGCTGCCAAGATACGCAGGAGTATCTGAAAGATGCCTAAGGGCTTCCACAAAGCGCCAGCCAGAATGAAAATGAATTTCCCGTAAAGGTTTGACCCTACAGGGGATTCCAGGTGTATCTAAAAGATGTATGAGCCGTGGGGGAGGTGCAGATGGGTAAAATAATAAAAATAAATAAATAAAATAAAATAAAACAAATTTTTCATGGAGTAAACTGCAATGGGGTAACTGGAATGGCTAGGCCATAGGCAAAATGGGGAAAACAGGGGGCAAAAAGTTGTTGACGATGCCAACAACACGCGGTGTTCCCAAGCGGTCCCCCATCTAAGTACTAACCGCGCCCGACGCTGCTTAATTTCGGTGATCGGACGAGAACCGATGTATTCAGCGTGGTATGGTCGTTGGCGAAAGTCGCAGGGTTAATCTATAGCTTTATATTTTGGTTGAACGCCTAACCTGTGTGTTATTTGGGGCTGCCAAGATACGCAGGAGTATCTGAAAGATGCCTAAGGGCTTCCACAAAGCGCCAGCCAGAATGAAAATGAATTTCCCGTAAAGGTTTGACCCTACAGGGGATTCCAGGTGTATCTAAAAGATGTATGAGCCGGGGGGGGAGGTGCAGATGGGTAAAATAATAAAAATAAATAAATAAAATAAAATAAAACATATTTTTCATGGAGTAAACTGCAATGGGGTAACTGGAATGGCTAGGCCATAGGCAAAATGGGGAAAACAGGGGGCAAAAAGTTGTTGACGATGCCAACAACACGCGGTGTTCCCAAGCGGTCCCCCATCTAAGTACTAACCGCGCCCGACGCTGCTTAATTTCGGTGATCGGACGAGAACCGATGTATTCAGCGTGGTATGGTCGTTGGCGAAAGTCGCAGGGTTAATCTATAGCTTTATATTTTGGTTGAACGCCTAACCTGTGTGTTATTTGGGGCTGCCAAGATACGCAGGAGTATCTGAAAGATGCCTAAGGGCTTCCACAAAGCGCCAGCCAGAATGAAAATGAATTTCCCGTAAAGGTTTGACCCTACTGGGGATTCCAGGTGTATCTAAAAGATGTATGAGCCGTGGGGGGAGGTGCAGATGGGTAAAATAATAAAAATAAATAAATAAAATAAAATAAAACAAATTTTTCATGGAGTAAACTGCAATGGGGTAACTGGAATGGCTAGGCCATAGGCAAAATGGGGAAAACAGGGGGCAAAAAGTTGTTGACGATGCCAACAACACGCGGTGTTCCCAAGCGGTCCCCCATCTAAGTACTAACCGCGCCCGACGCTGCTTAATTTCGGTGATCGGACGAGAACCGATGTATTCAGCGTGGTATGGTCGTTGGCGAAAGTCGCAGGGTTAATCTATAGCTTTATATTTTGGTTGAACGCCTAACCTGTGTGTTATTTGGGGCTGCCAAGATACGCAGGAGTATCTGAAAGATGCCTAAGGGCTTCCACAAAGCGCCAGCCAGAATGAAAATGAATTTCCCGTAAAGGTTTGACCCTACAGGGGATTCCAGGTGTATCTAAAAGATGTATGGGCCGTGGGGGAGGTGCAGATGGGTAAAATAATAAAAATAAATAAATAAAATAAAATAAAACATATTTTTCATGGAGTAAACTGCAATGGGGTAACTGGAATGGCTAGGCCATAGGCAAAATGGGGAAAACAGGGGGGCAAAAAGTTGTTGACGATGCCAACAACACGCGGTGTTCCCAAGCGGTCCCCCATCTAAGTACTAACCGCGCCCGACGCTGCTTAATTTCGGTGATCGGACGAGAACCGATGTATTCAGCGTGGTATGGTCGTTGGCGAAAGTCGCAGGGTTAATCTATAGCTTTATATTTTGGTTGAACGCCTAACCTGTGTGTTATTTGGGGCTGCCAAGATACGCAGGAGTATCTGAAAGATGCCTAAGGGCTTCCACAAAGCGCCAGCCAGAATGAAAATGAATTTCCCGTAAAGGTTTGACCCTACAGGGGATTCCAGGTGTATCTAAAAGATGTATGGAGCCGTGGGGGGAGGTGCAGATGGGTAAAATAATAAAAATAAATAAATAAATTAAAATAAAACATATTTTTCATGGAGTAAACTGCAATGGGGTAACTGGAATGGCTAGGCCATAGGCAAAATGGGGAAAACAGGGGGCAAAAAGTTGTTGACGATGCCAACAACACGCGGTGTTCCCAAGCGGTCCCCCATCTAAGTACTAACCGCGCCCGACCGCTGCTTAATTTCGGTGATCGGACGAGAACCGATGTATTCAGCGTGGTATGGTCGTTGGCGAAAGTCGCAGGGTTAATCTATAGCTTTATATTTTGGTTGAACGCCTAACCTGTGGTTATTTGGGGCTGCCAAGATACGCAGAAGTATCTGAAAGATGCCTAAGGGCTTCCACAAAGCGCCAGCCAGAATGAAAATGAATTTCCCGTAAAGGTTTGACCCTACAGGGGATTCCAGGTGTATCTAAAAGATGTATGAGCCGTGGGGGAGGTGCAGATGGGTAAAATAATAAAAATAAATAAATAAATTAAAATAAAACATATTTTTCATGGAGTAAACTGCAATGGGGTAACTGGAATGGCTAGGCCATAGGCAAAATGGGGAAAACAGGGGGCAAAAAGTTGTTGACGATGCCAACAACACGCGGTGTTCCCAAGCGGTCCCCCATCTAAGTACTAACCGCGCCCGACGCTGCTTAATTTCGGTGATCGGACGAGAACCGATGTATTCAGCGTGGTATGGTCGTTGGCGAAAGTCGCAGGGTTAATCTATAGCTTTATATTTTGGTTGAACGCCTAACCTGTGTGTTATTTGGGGCTGCCAAGATACGCAGGAGTATCTGAAAGATGCCTAAGGGCTTCCACAAAGCGCCAGCCAGAATGAAAATGAATTTCCCGTAAAGGTTTGACCCTACAGGGGATTCCAGGTGTATCTAAAAGATGTATGAGCCGTGGGGGGAGGTGCAGATGGGTAAAATAATAAAAATAAATAAATAAATTAAAATAAAACATATTTTTCATGGAGTAAACTGCAATGGGGTAACTGGAATGGCTAGGCCATAGGCAAAATGGGGAAAACAGGGGGCAAAAAGTTGTTGACGATGGCCAACAACACGCGGTGTTCCCAAGCGGTCCCCCAATCTAAGTACTAACCGCGCCCGACGCTGCTTAATTTCGGTGATCGGACGAGAACCGATGTATTCAGCGTGGTATGGTCGTTGGCGAAAGTCGCAGGGTTAATCTATAGCTTTATATTTTGGTTGAACGCCTAACCTGTGTGTTATTTGGGGCTGCCAAGATACGCAGGAGTATCTGAAAGATGCCTAAGGGCTTCCACAAAGCGCCAGCCAGAATGAAAATGAATTTCCCGTAAAGGTTTGACCCTACTGGGGATTCCAGGTGTATCTAAAAGATGTATGAGCCGTGGGGGGAGGTGCAGATGGGTAAAATAATAAAAATAAATAAATAAAATAAAATAAAACATATTTTTCATGGAGTAAACTGCAATGGGGTAACTGGAATGGCTAGGCCATAGGCAAAATGGGGAAAACAGGGGGCAAAAAGTTGTTGACGATGCCAACAACACGCGGTGTTCCCAAGCGGTCCCCCCCCATCTAAGTACTAACCGCGCCCGACGCTGCTTAATTTCGGTGATCGGACGAGAACCGATGTATTCAGCGTGGTATGGTCGTTGGCGAAAGTCGCAGGGTTAATCTATAGCTTTATATTTTGGTTGAACGCCTAACCTATGTGTTATTTGGGGCTGCCAAGATACGCAGGAGTATCTGAAAGATGCCTAAGGGCTTCCACAAAGCGCCAGCCAGAATGAAAATGAATTTCCCGTAAAGGTTTGACCCTACAGGGGATTCCAGGTGTATCTAAAAGATGTATGAGCCGTGGGGGGAGGTGCAGATGGGTAAAATAATAAAAATAAATAAATAAAATAAAATAAAACATATTTTTCATGGAGTAAACTGCAATGGGGTAACTGGAATGGCTAGGCCATAGGCAAAATGGGGAAAACAGGGGGCAAAAAGTTGTTGACGATGCCAACAACACGCGGTGTTCCCAAGCGGTCCCCCCATCTAAGTACTAACCGCGCCCGACGCTGCTTAATTTCGGTGATCGGACGAGAACCGATGTATTCAGCGTGGTATGGTCGTTGGCGAAAGTCGCAGGGTTAATCTATAGCTTTATATTTTGGTTGAACGCCTAACCTGTGTGTTATTTGGGGCTGCCAAGATACGCAGAAGTATCTGAAAGATGCCTAAGGGCTTCCACAAAGCGCCAGCCAGAATGAAAATGAATTTCCCGTAAAGGTTTGACCCTACAGGGGTGTATGGGCCGTGGGGGGAGGTGCAGATGGGTAAAATAATAAAAATAAATAAATAAATTAAAATAAAACATATTTTTCATGGAGTAAACTGCAATGGGGTAACTGGAATGGCTAGGCCATAGGCAAAATGGGGAAAACAGGGGGCAAAAGTTGTTGACGATGCCAACAACACGCGGTGTTCCCAAGCGGTCCCCCATCTAAGTACTAACCGCGCCCGACGCTGCTTAATTTCGGTGATCGGACGAGAACCGATGTATTCAGCGTGGTATGGTCGTTGGCGAAAGTCGCAGGGTTAATCTATAGCTTTATATTTTGTTTGAACGCCTAACCTGTGTGTTATTTGGGGCTGCCAAGATACGCAGGAGTATCTGAAAGATGCCTAAGGGCTTCCACAAAGCGCCAGCCAGAATGAAAATGAATTTCCCGTAAAGGTTTGACCCTACAGGGGATTCCAGGTGTATCTAAAAGATGTATGAGCCGTGGGGGGAGGTGCAGATGGGTAAAATAATAAAAATAAATAAATAAAATAAAATAAAACATATTTTTCATGGAGTAAACTGCAATGGGGTAACTGGAATGGCTAGGCCATAGGCAAAATGGGGAAAACAGGGGGCAAAAAGTTGTTGACGATGCCAACAACACGCGGTGTTCCCAAGCGGTCCCCCATCTAAGTACTAACCGCGCCCGACGCTGCTTAATTTCGGTGATCGGACGAGAACCGATGTATTCAGCGTGGTATGGTCGTTGGCGGAAGTCGCAGGGTTAATCTATAGCTTTATATTTTGGTTGAACGCCTAACCTGTGTGTTATTTGGGGCTGCCAAGATACGCAGAAGTATCTGAAAGATGCCTAAGGGCTTCCACAAAGCGCCAGCCAGAATGAAAATGAATTTCCCGTAAAGGTTTGACCCTACAGGGGATTCCAGGTGTATCTAAAAGATGTATGAGCCGTGGGGGAGGTGCAGATGGGTAAAATAATAAAAATAAATAAATAAAATAAAATAAAACATATTTTTCATGGAGTAAACTGCAATGGGGTAACTGGAATGGCTAGGCCATAGGCAAAATGGGGAAAACAGGGGGCAAAAAGTTGTTGACGATGCCAACAACACGCGGTGTTCCCAAGCGGTCCCCCATCTAAGTACTAACCGCGCCCGACGCTGCTTAATTTCGGTGATCGGACGAGAACCGATGTATTCAGCGTGGTATGGTCGTTGGCGAAAGTCGCAGGGTTAATCTATAGGTTTATATTTTGTTTGAACGCCTAACCTGTGTGTTAGTTTGGGGCTGCCAAGATACGCAGGAGTATCTGAAAGATGCCTAAGGGCTTCCACAAAGCGCCAGCCAGAATGAAAATGAATTTCCCGTAAAGGTTTGACCCTACAGGGGATTCCAGGTGTATCTAAAAGATGTATGGGCCGTGGGGGGAGGTGCAGATGGGTAAAATAATAAAAATAAATAAATAAAATAAAATAAAACATATTTTTCATGGAGTAAACTGCAATGGGGTAACTGGAATGGCTAGGCCATAGGCAAAATGGGGAAAACAGGGGGCAAAAAGTTGTTGACGATGCCAACAACACGCGGTGTTCCCAAGCGGTCCCCCATCTAAGTACTAACCGCGCCCGACGCTGCTTAATTTCGGTGATCGGACGAGAACCGATGTATTCAGCGTGGTATGGTCGTTGGCGAAAGTCGCAGGGTTAATCTATAGCTTTATATTTTGTTTGAACGCCTAACCTGTGTGTTAGTTTGGGGCTGCCAAGATACGCAGGAGTATCTGAAAGATGCCTAAGGGCTTCCACAAAGCGCCAGCCAGAATGAAAATGAATTTCCCGTAAAGGTTTGACCCTACAGGGGATTCCAGGTGTATCTAAAAGATGTATGAGCCGTGGGGGAGGTGCAGATGGGTAAAATAATAAAAATAAATAAATAAAATAAAATAAAACATATTTTTCATGGAGTAAACTGCAATGGGGTAACTGGAATGGCTAGGCCATAGGCAAAATGGGGAAAACAGGGGGCAAAAAGTTGTTGACGATGCCAACAACACGCGGTGTTCCCAAGCGGTCCCCCATCTAAGTACTAACCGCGCCCGACGCTGCTTAATTTCGGTGATCGGACGAGAACCGATGTATTCAGCGTGGTATGGTCGTTGGCGAAAGTCGCAGGGTTAATCTATAGCTTTATATTTTGGTTGAACGCCTAACCTGTGTGTTATTTGGGGCTGCCAAGATACGCAGAAGTATCTGAAAGATGCCTAAGGGCTTCCACAAAGCGCCAGCCAGAATGAAAATGAATTTCCCGTAAAGGTTTGACCCTACAGGGGATTCCAGGTGTATCTAAAAGATGTATGAGCCGTGGGGGGAGGTGCAGATGGGTAAAATAATAAAAATAAATAAATAAATTAAAATAAAACATATTTTTCATGGAGTAAACTGCAATGGGGTAACTGGAATGGCTAGGCCATAGGCAAAATGGGGAAAACAGGGGGCAAAAAGTTGTTGACGATGCCAACAACACGCGGTGTTCCCAAGCGTGTCCCCCATCTAAGTACTAACCGCGCCCGACGCTGCTTAATTTCGGTGATCGGACGAGAACCGATGTATTCAGCGTGGTATGGTCGTTGGCGAAAGTCGCAGGGTTAATCTATAGCTTTATATTTTGGTTGAACGCCTAACCTGTGTGTTATTTGGGGCTGCCAAGATACGCAGAAGTATCTGAAAGATGCCTAAGGGCTTCCACAAAGCGCCAGCCAGAATGAAAATGAATTTCCCGTAAAGGTTTGACCCTACAGGGGATTCCAGGTGTATCTAAAAGATGTATGAGCCGTGGGGGGAGGTGCAGATGGGTAAAATAATAAAAATAAATAAATAAATTAAAATAAAACATATTTTTCATGGAGTAAACTGCAATGGGGTAACTGGAATGGCTAGGCCATAGGCAAAATGGGGAAAACAGGGGGCAAAAAGTTGTTGACGATGCCAACAACACGCGGTGTTCCCAAGCGGTCCCCCATCTAAGTACTAACCGCGCCCGACGCTGCTTAATTTCGGTGATCGGACGAGAACCGATGTATTCAGCGTGGTATGGTCGTTGGCGAAAGTCGCAGGGTTAATCTATAGGTTTATATTTTGGTTGAACGCCTAACCTGTGTGTCAGTTTGGGGCTGCCAAGATACGCAGGAGTATCTGAAAGATGCCTAAGGGCTTCCACAAAGCGCCAGCCAGAATGAAAATGAATTTCCCGTAAAGGTTTGACCCTACAGGGGATTCCAGGTGTATCTAAAAGATGTATGGGCCGTGGGGGGAGGTGCAGATGGGTAAAATAATAAAAATAAATAAATAAATTAAAATAAAACATATTTTTCATGGAGTAAACTGCAATGGGGTAACTGGAATGGCTAGGCCATAGGCAAAATGGGGAAAACAGGGGGCAAAAAGTTGTTGACGATGCCAACAACACGCGGTGTTCCCAAGCGGTCCCTCATCTAAGTACTAACCGCGCCCGACGCTGCTTAATTTCGGTGATCGGACGAGAACCGATGTATTCAGCGTGGTATGGTCGTTGGCGAAAGCCGCAGGGTTAATCTATAGGTTTATATTTTGTTTGAACGCCTAACCTGTGTGCAGTTTGGGGCTGCCAAGATACGCAGGAGTATCTGAAAGATGCCTAAGGGCTTCCACAAAGCGCCAGCCAGAATGAAAATGAATTTCCCGTAAAGGTTTGACCCTACAGGGGATTCCAGGTGTATCTAAAAGATGTATGAGCCGTGGGGGGAGGTGCAGATGGGTAAAATAATAAAAATAAATAAATAAATTAAAATAAAACATATTTTTCATGGAGTAAACTGCAATGGGGTAACTGGAATGGCTAGGCCATAGGCAAAATGGGGAAAACAGGGGGCAAAAAGTTGTTGACGATGCCAACAACACGCGGTGTTCCCAAGCGGTCCCCCATCTAAGTACTAACCGCGCCCGACGCTGCTTAATTTCGGTGATCGGACGAGAACCGATGTATTCAGCGTGGTATGGTCGTTGGCGAAAGTCGCAGGGTTAATCTATAGCTTTATATTTTGGTTGAACGCCTAACCTGTGTGCAGTTTGGGGCTGCCAAGATACGCAGGAGTATCTGAAAGATGCCTAAGGGCTTCCACAAAGCGCCAGCCAGAATGAAAATGAATTTCCCGTAAAGGTTTGACCCTACAGGGGATTCCAGGTGTATCTAAAAGATGTATGAGCCGTGGGGGGAGGTGCAGATGGGTAAAATAATAAAAATAAATAAATAAATTAAAATAAAACATATTTTCATGGAGTAAACTGCAATGGGGTAACTGGAATGGCTAGGCCATAGGCAAAATGGGGAAAACAGGGGGCAAAAGTTGTTGACGATGCCAACAACACGCGGTGTTCCCAAGCGGTCCCCCATCTAAGTACTAACCGCGCCCGACGCTGCTTAATTTCGGTGATCGGACGAGAACCGATGTATTCAGCGTGGTATGGTCGTTGGCGAAAGTCGCAGGGTTAATCTATAGCTTTATATTTTGGTTGAACGCCTAACCTGTGTGTTATTTGGGGCTGCCAAGATACGCAGGAGTATCTGAAAGATGCCTAAGGGCTTCCACAAAGCGCCAGCCAGAATGAAAATGAATTTCCCGTAAAGGTTTGACCCTACAGGGGATTCCAGGTGTATCTAAAAGATGTATGAGCCGTGGGGGAGGTGCAGATGGGTAAAATAATAAAAATAAATAAATAAATTAAAATAAAACATATTTTTCATGGAGTAAACTGCAATGGGGTAACTGGAATGGCTAGGCCATAGGCAAAATGGGGAAAACAGGGGGCAAAAAGTTGTTGACGATGCCAACAACACGCGGTGTTCCCAAGCGGTCCCCCATCTAAGTACTAACCGCGCCCGACGCTGCTTAATTTCGGTGATCGGACGAGAACCGATGTATTCAGCGTGGTATGGTCGTTGGCGAAAGTCGCAGGGTTAATCTATAGGTTTATATTTTGGTTGAACGCCTAACCTGTGTGTTATTTGGGGCTGCCAAGATACGCAGGAGTATCTGAAAGATGCCTAAGGGCTTCCACAAAGCGCCAGCCAGAATGAAAATGAATTTCCCGTAAAGGTTTGACCCTACAGGGGATTCCAGGTGTATCTAAAAGATGTATGAGCCGTGGGGGAGGTGCAGATGGGTAAAATAATAAAAATAAAGAAATAAAATAAAATAAAACATATTTTTCATGGAGTAAACTGCAATGGGGTAACTGGAATGGCTAGGCCATAGGCAAAATGGGGAAAACAGGGGGCAAAAAGTTGTTGACGATGCCAACAACACGCGGTGTTCCCAAGCGGTCCCCCATCTAAGTACTAACCGCGCCCGACGCTGCATAATTTCGGTGATCGGACGAGAACCGATGTATTCAGCGTGGTATGGTCGTTGGCGAAAGTCGCAGGGTTAATCTATAGGTTTATATTTTGTTTGAACGCCTAACCTGTGTGCAGTTTGGGGCTGCCAAGATACGCAGGAGTATCTGAAAGAT